CATTCATGTCTCCTACTGTCCCCTGCCAGAGTTTCTCTGGGGAACATACCTAGGGGTGGAATTGCAGAGTAACAAAGTATGCAGAGCTTCCACTTTACAAAATCATATGCCCATTTATGCTCCAGAGGGGTTGCAGAGGGCTACACACCCACCAGAGTCCCCTGACCCATGGGTCCTCCCTGCTAACACCAGCCCATGACAGCACTCACTACTGGACAGTGTCCAGTTCAGAGAGCATCTCTTTGCTGCCTCAAATTGCGCTCTTCCAGCCTCTTTTGTGAAGTGGCTGCTCATATCCCAGCAGGTCGGCCCAGGGTGGAGGAGGGGCTGCCCCTGGGGCTCAAGTTCTCTCCCATCCCCTGTGCCTGGAACAGAAGGTGGAACGGAGTAGGTGCTCCACAAATAGTTCTGCGGTGAATGAACGCGGGGGTGAGCGCCTACTGAATGCATATGCGTGCAGGCAACGCTTCCCTAGACCTCAGGCACCTCTGCTCTGCGCTGCCCAGGTAGGAGAGCAAAGCTGAGGGGCCTGGGCCACCAGGCATCTCTAGCTTGGGGTAGGGGCGGAAGTCAGTCCTACCCCCTCCCCATTCTTCTGCTTGCCCAGGGCGAGAGCCCACAGCTGTTCAATGGCCCCTTCGTGTGTGCTTTGGGTTAGGAGTTGGAAATCACATCTCCTGTTTCGCATTCCTTTGATGTGCCTCTTTTTTCTTCCTTCTCGCCTTCTCGCAAGCTGCTCTCTCTCTCTCTCTTTTTTTTTTGATGTGCATCTTAACAGTCTAGGGCCAGTATCTTGTTTTTCTGCATCCTGAATTCCCCTCAGGGTGCACCATAGGTGCAGCTGCAGCGGCTGTTGGCTTTGTGGCCGCAACATCCTTGTTTACTGAAAAGGCAGGCGACATTCTTTGTCCGCAGACTGATGGGGGTGCAGACTGTCCACAGACTGATGGGGGTTTTAGGACCGCAAGAAATCAAACAGGCATGTGTACCAAATACCTAAACCAGGTTCCCCAAACCCTCTCAGAAGGGCAGTCTCTTATCTCCTGCTAGTTCCCCTTCTTGATAAATGATAAACTTTGGTATAGGCTCCAAATCAATTTGCCTACTCCGTGGCTTTTGTAGGTAATTAGCTCAGGGTCCCCGCAGGTATCTGCTTGGCTCTGTGCTCCTGGCGACTCTCCCACTCCTCAACCCCTAGCCGCCACAGCTGGTGACCCCAAGGAAACAGTCCAGCCCAGCCACACTGCAGAGTCCACACCTGGGCATCCCTGGACTCACCTGGAACAGGTGGTGCTCAGCCTCCAGGACCTACCTGATGGGCTTCTGCAGGAATCCCTTTCCCCTCCCCAGACCAAGACAGGCCCCGGGTCTCAAATCCAGATGCCCTCAGGGACACGGCAGAGCCTCTGCAGGAGATGGAGGGTGCAGGACATTTGCACACGCACCGGGCAAAGCCGTCACAGGCATGTATGCTCTTGAGCAGCGGACTGTCTGGGAAGCTGGTGGATTGGAACTCCTGAGATCCAGCCTAGAGCTCAGACCCGGTCAGCACCCCTTCCCCGGGCACAGCTTCCGGGTCGCGGTTGTGTTGCAGGAAGGGGGACCCCTTCCAGGGCCCGAGAGTGGGCTCTTGTCAGACACGCGAACGTGAATTGTCCGAAGAGACACGCGTGCTGACGAAGCAGGAGCCTTTGTTGGGAAGGGGCGCCCGGGCGGAGAGCAGCAGGTAAGGGACCCCAGGAGAGCGGCTCTGCCACGTGGCGCGCAGTCTCGGGTTTTATGGGGATGGGGTTAGTTTCCGGGTTGCCTCTGGCCAATCACTCTGACTCAGGGTCCTTGCTGGTGACGCACACATCGCTCAGCCTGGATGGATTCCAGCGAGAAGGATTCTGGGAGGTTGGTAGGACATACGGACTGGCGTTTCCTCTCTCCTTTGGGCCTTTCCCGAATTCTTCCGGTTGGTGGTAGCTTGTTAGTTCCACGTTCCTTACCAGGAGCCCCTGTTGTAAGATAACTCATGAATGTGGCTACTATTGGGTCTGGCCAGGGCGGGGGTGGGGGGGTGGTTTCGGTCAGTGGTTCCCCTAACAGCTGGGTGGAGGGGAGTGGGAAAGGATGGGGAGTTTTACTCTTCCAGACCTGACCCAGGCTGGGTGACAGAGCATCTGCACCCTGCTGTGCTCTCAGAAGCCCACTCGGGTTCCCCAGTAAAGCCTGTGTTAGACTTCCGTGTCTACTCCCCGGAGGACTAAAAGCAGGGCTCAGCGAACACACACACCCACGTTCATAGCAGCGTTATTCACAGTTGCCAACCCTGATGTCCATCCACGGATGGATGAATAAACCAATGTGGGCCGGCCGTACAAGAGAACATGATTCAGCCGCAAAGAGGAATGGAGCTCCGATTCACGCTACGACACGAACGAACCTTGAAAACGTGTTACATTCAAGCAGCCAGCCGCAAAGTGACGACGATTGTATGGTTTCCTCCCAGATGAGCTTCCCGGAATAAGCAAATGCAGAGATTTAAAGGTGATTCGTGTTGGCTGAGGGCTGGTGAGGGGCTAGGGGTGACCGCTGGGGGGCACGGAGATTCCCTCTGGTGGATAAAAATGGTCGGGGGCTGGGTGCAGGGCAGGGTGGGCACCGGCAGTGTACTCAGTGTCACTAATGATAAATTTTGTGTCATGTGTATTTTAGCATACAGTTGTTGAGAAAGGTATGAGTTGAAATAAAGTATGGATAAGTGAAAAAGAACGTCAAATCTACATTGTCAGAGGGCTTCCCTGGTGGCGCAGTGGGTGAGAGTCCACCTGCCGATGCAGGGGACACGGGTTCGTGCCCCGGTCCGGGAAGATCCCACATGCCGCGGAGTGGCTGGGCCCGTGAGCCATGGCCGCTGGGCCTGCGCGTCCGGAGCCTGTGCTCCGCAACGGGAGAGGCCGCGGCAGTGGGAGGCCCATGTACCGCAAAAAAAAAAAAAAAAAAAAAAAATCTACATTGTCAGAAACAATACAACAGTTTCAGTAGGGAGGCGAAATAACCAGAGGTGTGAGCTGCGGTGTGGCCAGCGCCCCTACAGTTGGGCATCTCATCCTACAGGGAGGGGCCTGGGCTCAGAAAGAAACAGACCCTTGAATTTCCGCCCAGCTCCTCCCCCAATGCCCGGCTGCCTGTTTCCGCCTGGAGGGCCACCTGGCCTTGGGACACCTGGCTCTGAGCGTTGCCTTCCTCGGGGACGGTCAGAGGTGCACGGGACTGAATGTGAGATGTGCCTCTGCCGGCCACCCTCTGCCCCTCCCGGCCACCTGCCGCCCCCTGCCTGCCAAATGCCCACGCCCAGAGCTGCCCCCTCTCCTCCTCTTTGTCCTTCGTTATAACCAACAACGTGGTAAGCGCAGCTGGACGCGCCTGGGCCCTGGCTTCAAACCCACCTATTGGAGCCGGGTGACCTGGGTCAGCTACCCTGACCTTTGGCCTCTTTCTGTCTCCCCCGCCTCTCAAGCTGGCTCCCGCCTGAGGCCTTTGGCTGCTCCCTCTGCCTGGAACACCGACCCCATGCCCTCCCATCACGGAGGTCTCACTCAAATGTCGCCTACTCCAAGAGGCCCTCCGGGACCGCCTGGTCTAAAGCACCCCAGGCCCACCCTCACCCCGGCCGCTGTGATCCCCACTTACAACCCTCCTCTTACTGATGGCGGCACTGACTTCTCTCTTCTGCCTCTGGAATGAGAGCCCATGACGTCTGCTGGCATCTTGGAGTCCCTGAGACCCCAGGAAAGGGGCCAGGTGTCCAGGGGCTACGGTGCCCATGGTGCAGCCTGGGACCTTCCTGGGGTCCCCAAGCCCAGGCACTGTTAACCCCACTCCTGGTTCACAGATCTCTTCCTCCGCTTCCCCTCCGTGGAGTCTGTGACCCCCTGTGCTCTCCGGCTTAGTAATACTTCCGTGTTCAGTCAAATCTAAATGCCACTGATAGTAAGACCCCCATTCCTTTACGAGCTGCTAGAAAGAACACAATGTTGTGGGTTGTACCTTTGTTTTTTTGGGCTGCGCCGCGCGGCACCTGGGCTCTTAGTTCCCTGACCAGGGATCGAACCCGTGCCCCTGCAGTGGAAGTGCGGAGTCTTAACCACTGCACCGCCAGGGAAGTCCCTGTGCTGTACTTTGATCCTCCATCAGTTTTAAGACACATCCTGATTTCACGTGAAAAACTGTTCATCGAGGACTCAGTGAAATTCGGTAATAACACTAGCAGGCTCTGGCATTGCACCTGTGCCCCGGCCGGTTCCTCTCCTCCGGGTGTGGTTGTTCGTTTAATCCGGCCCACCGGGCAGGTGCGCTTATCCCCAATTCACATACGAAGCAGCTGAGTAATTAGTCAGAGTCACACCGTCAAGGAGAAGAGCAGGCGTGAACGGGCGTCTGTCTGGGGGACCCACGCTCCCGACAGGCGCGCACCTGGCTCCCCAGCCCCCGGGCCGCTTGGGAGGTGGGAAAGGAAGCCTCGGAGGCCGCTAGTGACTTGCTTGGCACCGCAAGGCAATAACTCCAAGTGCTTCTAGATGGAGCCTGGGAGCAGGGGGCAGCTGGAGGCTGCACTGGGGGCCAGGGCCCCCGGAAGGGCAGAGTCCAGGCCGGCAGGCCAGCGAGGCCACACGAGTCCAGGCAGAGGATTGCATCAGGGTCCACGCTGCTGTGGCCCGGGGCTACCTGGGGCCTCACTGGGGTGATGCAACCCTGGCCGGTGGCCACCTCCCTGGGCGGTGACTGTGATGAGGGTGGGCCCTGGGAGCTCCACATTCCATGACCCTCTGACGGTCCCCAGACAGCTCTCAGCCCAGGCTGCTCCGCGCAGACCCCTGGGGGCTCCATCCTTGCCAGAACTCTCGCCCCTCGTTCACGGCGTGCGGTCACCACCCATTTTCCTTGCTGTTTACTCACCTTCCCCACAGCCTGCACCCACCTGGACTCCCGCCCCTGCAGAGCGTCCGACTTACATTTACCCGTTGGGTCCTGGGCGCGACTGCGAAATGGGTCTGACAGTAAATGCCGCAGTGCCATCTGTCTCGGGGGCCCGCCCGTGTCCTCTGTGGGCTCGGTCAGCACTTTGCGTCCTGTGCCCTGTGTCTCTGTGACAAGGGCTCTGCCGGGCAGGGAGTGGCCGCATTGTTTAGGAATCACTCATTCATGTCTCATGTGTTATCACTAAACAAAGGGCCGGGAGACCTGAGGCTGCGGAGCGGCATCTGTCTGCTGAGTCTGCTGTGCGTCACGCTGCTTCTCGCGTCTTCACCTGGTGCTGATTCGAGGTCCTTGTGGTGCTCTCCGCAGTCGGCCAGGCGGCCTCTGCTGCACCAGCCCTGGGCCTCCCGATAGCTGACCGCAAGAGGCTTACCTCTCGCCTCTGAAACCAACACTGAACGGAGAGAGGTTCAAACACTACGGGCCGCAGGAGGGAGTCGTGACTGAGAGGCTCTGGGACTGGGGCTTGTTTCGGTCCCAGGGAGTCTACCCCCGAGTCAGGCGCTGCACTCCTGGTCTGGCCTAGAACGAGGGGCCAGTCATCCAGGTCCATCCCGGACAGTCCTGGTTTTCACCCAAATTGAGCGGCCGCCCTCCCAAAGGCCGCTTCCTGGGCCAGGAGGAAGAGGGAGTCCTGAGATGGCTCAGGGAGAAGAAGGCCTGGCCCAGCCGCCAGCATGGGGCCTGGGTCCACCTGCGGCATTTCTGTCATTCGTTTGTTCACTCAGCAAACATTTAGTAAGCCAGAACCACGGCGTTGAACAAAATAGGCCAAATCTTTACACTCTAGTGGAGAGGAAAGACAGCCGACAAAATACAAGCTGAGTATCTAAACTGACTATAGAGCGGGTCAGATGGTAGTGGGTACCATGGAGAATAAAGGAGGGAAGGGGTGTGGGTGCGTTTATGGGGAAGGAGGGCCGTTTGCGGTTCCAGGGAGGTGGTCAGAGAGGCGCTACTGCAAAGGTGACACTGGAGGCACCTGCGTGTGCAAAGGCCCTGAGGCAGGAGCTGTGGTCTGGGAGGGGCTGGGTCAGGGTGGCTGGAGCGAAGGCGGGAGGGGAGATGGAGGACAGGGACGAGGGGCCAGATGTAGGCCGTGGTAAGGACAGGCTTTGTGCCCTCACACTCACTCCCAAGGCCAGGGGATCCACGGGAGGGTTTGGAGACCAGAGGGATCTGGTCTGTGGTTGCCGTGTGGAGAACAGATGGGAGAGTGGCCAGTGCGGATGCCGAGGACAGTTAAGAGGCAGAGCGGATGGTGGCTTGCCTGGGGGTCAGAGGGGCTGATGAGCCGGGCGGGAGGTGACAGCAGGGTGCTGAGGTCTCTGCCTGAGGCACGCGGTGGCCTGCTGTCCGCCTGCGGGGGAGCAAGTCTGGGGGGCTCAGGCCCTTGGTTCTCCCATGCGAACGGGAGCAGCGTGGCCAGCTGAGTTTTCCAAGAGGAGCAAAATCCTTGGATCTCACATGGTTTCTCAGACTGTGGACTGACACTTGGCACCCACTGAGAGGTGGGGTCTGTCCCCTTCCCTGGGGGCCGGCGGGCATGAGGCCAGCAGAAGTGACCTGTGGCTTCCGCTCAGCCTCCTGGGACTCCTGCCCTTGGCACTGGCCGCCGCCAGGTAAGGAAGCCCAGGCCAGGCGGGGGCTCCAGAGACAGCCAGCGTCACAGCCATGCGGGTGAGGAAGACGCGGCCCTGGTCACCACCTGGCTGCCAGCCCACGACAGCCTGGGTGAGAACCCAGAAACGGGGGAGGGCAGGTGGGAACGCTTGCCGCAGCCTCGAGCTGCCCAGTGCCCGGGGAGGCAGGGGAGCAGGCGGCTGTGCTGGGGTCCATCTGCTCTGGTTTCCTCTCGTTTCTCTGGACGCACTGGGGTCCTGTCACCCTTTGTCCACTCAGAGAGGGCAGGGGCTGCAGAGCCAGCAGGGGCCCAATGCCCAGCTGGGGTGGGAGGCCCACGGGCACACAGCCGCAAGGGACACCGGCCCAGCGCTGGCCTGGCCCCAGAGCCCTGGAGGAAAACCCGCTCACCGTCCTTGGGATTCCAACGAGGGGCACCCGCACTGCTGTCCCATAATCACACCCCCTCCCCACCCAGGGAGGGCCATGGCAGCCTGTGAGGAGGACCCCCAGAGCAGGACCGTCACGGGTTCACTCCCAGCTCCCCCGCCCACCAAGTGCCCGAGCTTCAGCAAATCACGGCTCCTCTCCGAGCCGCAGTTTTCTCATCTGGAAAATGAAACAAAGCACATTCCGTCCCTTGTGTCTGTGAAGTGCAGAACAGTACCAGTAACTGTACCATCATGATTATTCTTTAGGGTGAGTCACCCAGAGCCTCCTAACCTCCCATAATTTGCTCCTAGGAAAGGTGGCAGGAGGGGATGAGGTGTGGCTGGAATCTGGGTCTGGCCTCGGTCCCATGCGAGGGGCAGCTGCGGTGCTGGGGGCCCCTCTCCCTGTGTGTTACGGGCTGAATGTCTGTGTCCCCCCAACGGTCGTATGTTGAGGCTCTAACCCCCGACGTGATGGTACTTGGAAATGAGACCTTGGGAGGTGATCAGCTGAGAGGAGGTCACGAGGACGGGGCCCTCATGGTGGGCTTAGTGTCCCTATAGGAAGAAGAGACCAGACTTGCCCTCTCTGCCATGTGAACACATTGCTGTCTGCAAGCCCGGAGCAGGCTCACCGGGACCCAATCTGCCGTCACCGTGGTCTTGGACGTCCAGCCTCCAGGACTGTGAGAAATAAATAACTGCTGTTCAAGCCCGCACTGTGGCTTTTGTTATGACAGCCTGAGCCAAGACCAGAGCCTCAGTTTTCCCACCTGTAAAATGGGAGCTAGAACAGAGACCTTCTGGTCCAGGGGTCCCCTGTGTAGATGCGTTTTGTATACTTGACACCCATGCACACAGGCATGAGTGTTTCCCTGCAAGGCCCAGTCATGCTGAGGTCAGCCAGCACCTGGGCCTCCACGGCTGACCTCGCCCGGGGTCTGTGCCCTCACCGGTGTGGTGTGAACCCTCTGACCTCCTCCTGAGGGATCTCTCTGGGTCTGTCACCATGGCTGCAGGCTCCCTGGGGGATCCACAGCTTCTCCAAGTAGAGCCAGCACAGCTTGGGGTGAAAATAGAGACTTTTGACTGAAAACCCAAAATTTTACATGAAAGCTCCAGGTGTTTAAATACTCACCTAAAATTGAAAATTGTATGTGAGCATAACATCATTCTGCGACATTACTACCAGAGATGCAGAACCGGAATGGAACCGTGGTGACACTTGAGGCCGCTGGCATTGAGGGACAGTCTACAGGACAGCCAGCCTGTGACCTTCACGAGGCCCAAGGTCATGGAGGTCAAGGGAAATCCAAGGCTCCGGGAGCATAAAACCTCAGGACAGCTGAGTGTGACGCTGGGTTGGGTCCTGTCAATAAACGATGTTGCGGGGACAAATGCAGAAACCAAGTGGGGTCTGACGTGTCCTATTATTTCTTGATCTTACAGAGACTTGAGAGAAAGTCCTAGTTTGCAGGAAATATATAGAAAAGTGTCCGGGGTCATCAGTGTGCTCCCAAATAATTTAGGTAAGAAAAAAAAAAAGTCTCGTACTCGACCTGCATCTTCTCTGTATATATGAGACTATTTCAAAATGTGAAAGCACGTGTATTTATAAAAAGATGGGCTCAAGCCGAGCGTTTCCATGGGTTTGTTCAGTGCCCAGACCCCTGGTTCGCAGCCCCTGGTGGGAGCAGCTCCTGCTGCCACTACTTTTACTGCTAATTTGTCCTTTAGGACTGAACACAGAGAGGCACCACTTCTGTGTCTACTGTTTACTTCATGTGAGACAGAATTAGCGGGAACGTTTTATAAAATGGTCTTTGGTTTTAACACGAGAGTAAGACCATCACCCACCATGAGAGAGTCTGGGTTCTTGTAGACCCGGTCCACTGCCGGCTCTGACCCACGGGCTGTGTGCCCAGGGGACCTGGGGACCCTATCTGAGCTGTTTCCCCAAATACACGAGGGCCTAGGATTGCCCCCTGCCCCCCCGCAGGCTGCTGGAGAATGAAGTGGGACCCCGGGGGGGCGTCCTTGATGAGCAGAGGTAGCCTGTTCCCCCAGGAGGGACCTTTAGTGTGGTAGGACGGGCGGAGACCCTTCCTGGGCCCAGGGACCAGATGGTGGACAGACGGATGTGGGATGTGGCCTGGCCTGGAGACTGCCTGCCTGGCCATGGCATCCACGCATCCCAGGATGGGCCCTGAGCCTGCCTCTGCTACCTGGGCATCAGGTAGGGGTGGAGGTGTGCAGCTGCGGGAGCCTGAGCTCTCTCCTGAATATGCGAACGTCTGTGCCTCACCCTAGAGCGGGGGCGGTGGTAACTCCCACGATGCAGGGAACGAGTGCCAGTGCCTTCAAGCAGCCTCCCACGCCCCACGTGGGCTGGCCCCGCGCTTCCCGCTCTCCTCCTGGAAAACCTCCAGGATGCAGGGGCTCCTGCTGGGCGGGCCCATTGCACCCCAGGACGTGTGCGCCTGCCCTGCCCCGGCCCCCCCGCGCCCCCGGCCAGCCTCTTCCCTCAGATCGCTGCACAACCAACTCCTCCTCTCTGTTTCAGCTCATTCCCCGGCTCAGGCGGCCTTTCCGGAGCCCCCTGGAAAGCAGCTGTTCACAAACTTCCCCGTGTATCACACTCGCAGAAAGGGGGGAGGGTAACACCAGGCCCCACCCCCAGCCTTCTAATCAGCAGGCAGGGCCAGGCCCGAGAATCTGCATTTCTACCGGCTCTGGGTGATGTCGATGCTGCTGGCTGGGCACCCCGCCTGGAGAACCCCTGCTCTAAAGCGGCCCCTGCAGGGGCTCTTCACACCCCCTTATGGCCTGATGCTCACATCACCTACCCTCCTCTTTCTAACTGACACCATTTTTGCTGCAGGTGTTCACCTGCCCCAGCCCCAGGGAGGGGGCTGATTCCTCTAGACCAGAGGTTCTCAACCCAGGTGACCCTACCTCTGGGGTTACCTATGGCTGCGACAGGGATGGGCAAGGACCGTCCCACCCCCATGTCCACGCACCCCCAGGAGAAGCACTGATGAATCGCTCCCTGCCAGTGAGAGCGGGCAGGCAGCCAGGGCTTCTGGGAAAGGTCGCCCTCCCGGGTGAAGGGGGTACAGCTCCCACTCTTTGCCCCTCCGGGTGGGAGAGCGGTGGCTGCCATCCTGGCCTTGGAGCCGGAAGCAGAAGGAGCAATGGGATGGAGCCACCTCCCTGCACTTCCTGTTCGGAGGCCCTCAGGGACATTCGGGGTGGCAGACAGCGTCCCAGGTGCCCCACCCAAAACCTTGTCTCGTTCTGCACGTCCCGCACTGAGAGCAGTACCTGCACGTGCAGGTAGGCACTCCGTCCATCAGGGAGGGTTGGGCGAACGTGCCAGAACCCCAGGGCCTAAGATCTGACCCGGCCCGACCCCTGCCTGCGGGCAGGAGGCTCGTTTCCCTGAGCTGGGCCTCAGCTTGTCCATCTGTGAAATGGGTGTAATGACCCAGGGGTCATGGAGTCGTCAAGTAAGCGCTGGGCAGGAAGGTGTTGGTGACCACTGCACAGGCTTCCCTGGAGGCCCCCCACCCCAGAGTGCAGGTGGTCCGGGGCCAGGGCTGCACAGGCCCCGGAGGACGCCCACGCTCGGACCGCCTGAGCGCGTCAGGGAGCCGAGCCTGAGCCGTTACAAAGCAGGAAGAGATCGTGTTTGTCTGAAACGCGTCACAAGGGAAGCCCACCACGGCCCCAGCTTGGGGGCTCGCCCGTGGAGGCGGCTGCCCTGGTCAAGGCAGCCGGCAGGCCCACTGGGACCAGGAGAGGAAGCCCCACGGACGGGCGGAAGCACCAGGGGCGGCTCTGCGGCAGGGGACGGGGAGGGGGTGCCCGTGGGCCTCCGGGCTGCTCTTGCCAGGGTCTGCGGACCCGATGTAACGCCCCCAGCCCAGCCTACCCCTGGCTCCTCGGTCAGTCTCCGTGAGATTCAGTCACTCGCTCACCGAAAGGACGGCTTCCGGCCCCAGCCCGGCCGGGCCGTGACGCAATCTCCCCAGCTGGCAGAGGGCAGGCAGGCCAGGCGGGAGCTCCCCCAGCATCCGCGCCCGGGGAGCAGCGCCCTCTGCTGGCCTCTGCCGAGTCGGGGGGCTGCACCCGGTGGCCTCGGCCTGGGGGGCTGGCGGCGCCGTCCCCGTCTGCAAGGCGGGGTCCGCTCTGCAGGGACGCTTGGCTCCGGCGCTGGAGGGGCGGGCATCAGTCCTTGCACTTCGTGGCTCTGGACTGCAGCCCCTTCTGTCCTGTCGCAGGCCAGCGCCGAATGTCACAGCGCCAGGGCCCGGGCCGCTGTCCACAGGAGGCTCAGCAGCGCGGCCAGCAGTGGGCCCGCGGCCCGCGGTGCTGCGGCGGCGATGGAGGTGCAGGAACAGACCTCGTAGGCGTCCTCTGAGCGGCTGTGGTCGCGCTGCCCCGGCCGGGCGTGGGCCCCTGCCTCTCCGTCTGCGTCCTCGGGGTCAGCGGGTGGGTCTCTGCAGACCAGCCAGTCCCGGGCCGTGGACTGCGGGTACCCGGGCGCCACCTCCAGCTCGCCATCCAGCACCTTCCAGTACTCCTTGCCGCGGAAGAAGTAGGCGGCACCTGGGGGAGAAGAGGGCAGGCAGCTGAGCTCCGGCCGCTGCAGCACGCGGGATTCGGTGTAGACGGCAGGAGGACGGGATACAGAGAGCTGCGGGGCCAGTAGGAAGGACGGACGTAGAATGTCTCAGGTGAGAGTCAGAGTCTTGGTCTCAGCCTACGGGGAGCCCATCTGTGGGCACTCAGAGCATTACAGGCCTGGGAAAGCTCAAGGAGCCGCCTGGAGGCAGGGGGATGGATGAGATGACCTCTGCTTTTCCCCTACTATTTATTTAGTGAGGGCCTACAATGTGCCAGGCTGTTCTAGGTACTGGGGACATGGCTTTGCAAATAGAACAAATGAAACTTCCCGTACGGGTGGAGCTGCCCCTGTGGGAGGGTGCTGTACTTCTCACTGCGGCCAGGGGGCGCTGCAATGACGTTTGGGCGGAGGCCTGAAGCCGGTGGGGAAAGTGTTGGCGGGGGGGGGGGGGGGGGGGGCGGAGCAGACGCACGCATCTGCCGCTGGATCCCAGCTCCCCAGGTGTGGGTGCTGAGGCTGCCCCGGAGTCGCCCTTCCCCCCGCGCCCGGCTCACCATCGGACCAGGGCGTGGCATCGTCGAGCGTGCTGGGGATGCCCCTCCACGGGGGGCTCTGGGCGGGGTGGCCAGGGTCCATGCGCCGTGTGTGCTCATCGTAGCGCCAGTACAGCTGGTCCTTAAAGAAATAAGTCTTGTCATTGTGAGCCCAGGAGAAGGCAGCATCGACGCCGCCCGGCGGGAGGCCGAAGTCCGAGATGGGCCGCGGGTATCCTTCCTCTACGTTATTGTCCTTAAACACCCAGTATCTGTCTCCTGGGGGCGAGAGAAAGAGCCGTGGGCCGGGGTTCGCCCAGCCCGCCGGGCGAGGGCCCCAGCCCTTGCTCCTCCCACAGACGGGCACCCCGATGCGCAGTGCCCATGGCGTAAGTCCCAGGAGGGTTCACCGAGCGCCTGCTGTGCTCCCGGCAGGGGTCCCACACGTGCCAGCAGCCTGGGGAGGCGGGGCCAGATGAGGCGGCCGCGTCACAGCCAGGGGGCAAGACGACCCGCTCCCACGCCGAGAAGCCACTTCGGTCAGCGGGGCCTTGTCCACTTCTGCTGTGAGGCGGGCTGAGCACGTTCACGGGCAAAGCAGGAAGGGCGCCGGGTGAAGGCCCACCGGACCTGCACGTGTGCAGCCTTGTCAGATTACACAGAAGCAGAGCTTTAGAAATCACCAAGAACTTCAAATCCGCACGTAAAGCTTTTGGGAAATGGTGTGATTAAGACCCTTGTTGGGTGTCCTTGACTCTGTGCTCTGGAAACACATCCTCAGCTGCTCCGCCGCAGGAGGGTGGGATCAAATTTGGGTATGTGTTGTCATGTCCCCCACTCCCGCCCGGTTTAGTAACTAATGACCCTGTTATTTCGAAAACAAATGAGGGAATTCCCTGGCGGTCCAGCGGTTAGGACTCTGTGCTTTCACCCTGCAAGCTGCAAGGTGCGGCCAAAGAAACAAACAAAACAACAAATGAAAAAAGAAACAAATGAAAACAGAAGATACAAATGAAGAAGAAGCAAAACATTAAAAAAATCTTTGGCTGGACAAAGGACTGGAATAGACATTTCTCCAAGGAAGATATTCAAGTGGTCAGTAAGCACATGAGAAGATGCTCAACATCACTGATCATCAGGGAAATGCATGTCGAAACCCTAACGAGACACCGCCTCACACCCAGTAGGACGGGCACGAGCAAACCCGCCCCCCGAAAACAGCAAGCGTAGGTGAGGATGGGGGGAATCGGGCACCGCTGGTGGGAATGTAAACTGGGAGCGGCTGCTGTGGGAGAAAGAAATAGTCCAGGACCCAGCAACCCCACCCCTGGGCATATACACAAAGGAACTGAAAGCAAGTTCTCAAAGAGCTATCCGTACACCCATGTCCACGGCAGCCTTATTCACAACGGCTAAGACGTGGAAGCAAGCCAAGTGTCCATCGACAGATGATAAAATGTGCTCCATCCACGCAATGGAATACGACTCAGCCTTGAAAAAGGAAGGCAATTCTGACCCCTGCCGCACCGTGGATGACCTTGAGGACGTGATGCTCAGTGAAATAAGCCAGTCGCAAAAAGACAGATCCCGTGTGCTTCCACGATATGAGGCCCCCAGAGCAGACAAGTCCATGGAGACACAGAGCAGGCTGGTGGGTGCCGGGGGCTGGGGGGGGGGATGGGGAGTCAGTGTTTCATGGGGACAGTTTCAACTTTACAAGATGAAAAAGCTTTAGAGATGGACGGTGGTGACGGTTGCACACAGTGTGAAAGTACTTAGTGCCCCTGAACTCTACACTTATAAATGGTTAAGACGGTAACTTTTACAGTGTGTGTGTGTGTGTGTGTGTGTGTGTGTGTGTTTTACCACAATTAACAATAATTTCTAAAAGATCATCTGTCAGAGACTGGCAACAACTGAAGGAAACGACGGCACAGCTGCAGACAGGGCCCCGTCGATCACAACGAGAAGGGCCGTGAGTGGGCACACGTGGGGTGATGTCGACAGGGCAGCCCGACCTGCTCCAGCGGACGCTGCCAGGCAAGTGCAGAGGCCCCAAGTGCCCACACTGTCTCACATTTCAAGTCTGGAGCTGTGGTTTCTCGTGGGGATCTCCCGATTTTTAAATGTTAAGAAATAATCCAAGTTACTTAGAAGATGCCAGACGGGTCCCCCCACCATGACTGTGGCCGGCCCTTGACATCCAGCCTGGGAGACGGTGATTCCACTGTCAGGGGGCGCGTCAGGGTGAGTGTGGAGGGGTCGAGCCCAGGCACCACACAAGGGAGGCCAGGTTGGAAAGCCTGGGTCAGGGCAGCAGGGTGGCTTCACTCTGGGGAGCTACAGACCCTGCACCCCCAAAACACAGCTGCACGTACATACAGCAGTGCGTGAGACTGAGGAAGGCTCACAGCCCCCGAGGCGCCCACAGAACTGGCAGGGCTCAGTCTCCTGCTGCAGGCGGGGCACCTTGCCTTTTCCCCAAAGAGACAGCACGCTCCCCAAGGGCAGGAACCACCACCCCAGCCCCGCCCGGGAGCCGGGCTGTTGAGGGTGAAGTGACACCCCTCCTCCAGTGGACCTGTCACCATGGACTGAGATGCGAGAGCAGTCTCCCCCTGCTCTTAGGCTAAATCCAGCTCCTTCCCGCGGCCCTTGGCGAGGACCTGCACTTCCCACCCCTGCCTCCTCGCCCTTCACTCTGATCCAGCCTCATCACCCTCTTCCAGGTTCTTTCAATCAGCAAGCTTGTTCCTGCCTCAGGACCTTTGCATTGGCAGCTCCCTCGGCCTGGTATGCTGGTCCCGCAGGTCTACCTGAAGTTAACTCCCTCATTACCTGCAGGTGCTTATTGTGTGTCCCCCGGCCCAGAATGAGGGCAGGGATTTTCGTGTCTTGCCCACTGTGTGCCTGCAAGGCCTGCCACAGTGCAGAGCACACAGCAGGTGCTCAATAACTACAAACTGGTTGAGTGCACACGTGAACGTGAGCCTCTCTGCTCTGAGCTCTGGACCCACAGAGCAAAGCACAGGACTGGCCTCCTGCGTGGACGCGAGCTTTGGGGATCCTGGGGAGCGCGGGCTGCGGCCCCCGGTCAGCGATGCCCGGCAGGCACCCAGATGGGGGGGCACCCACCTTTGAAGAAGACGATCTTGTGGTCACTGGTGCGCTCGTACACGGCATCCACGCTGTCCAGGCGCAGCGGCAGGCCCCGCCAGAAGCGGTGCACCTGTGCCGGCTGCAGCGACACCAGGTGCCGGTCCCGGGTCAGCCGCCAGAAGTACTTGCCTGGGGGGACACAGGGGGTGGGGCTGCAGGTGGCTGGCCTGGGGCCCAGGGTGGGCTCTGCTCCTCTGTCCGCCAGCGCTGGACCCCGAGGGGGTTACCTTTGAAGAAGAAGGCCTCGCCTCGGATCTGGGCTACTGCGTCAAAGTGGCCGCTGCATCTGTGGGGCACGTCCTTCCCGGGCCTGGGGGAAGAGAGAGGGCCGGGCTGGGAGCTGCCCCGGGGAGCTGGGCTGGGCAAGGCCATGGGGACAAGCATCCCCGAAGGACCCTGCACGCCCGCATCACCGCCTGCAGGCCCAGCGACCACAGCAGTTTAGTCAAGAGAGAAAAGCAGGTGAAACAGCCCCACGCTCGCCATGCAGGCTGCGAGACGGATCGCTGAGCGAGCGCACTGGACCAGCAGGCGCTCTCCACGCTGCCAGCGAAGCGTCGGGAAGCCAGCTGGGCACTTTCCACAGAAGTGCGGAGCGCGCGTGCCGGGACCCCGATTCTGAGTCTGGAGCCCTGTCCACGGACAGTACTCACAGCAACGTCATGTGTGACGACAAAAGGTCAGGAATTAAATGCCCGCCGATCCAGGACTCAGAAACAGGGCAGGGCACATGCGTACCGCAGTGCAGCTCAGCCCCGAGACCCAGGCATCTTCACAGACACAGAGGCCTCCACGGGCCCTGGGGCCAGAGCTAGGGCACAGAGCAGCACAGGAGACATCCTCTGGGCTCACGCATGTACATCTACACGCTGGGCTTTCTACACACGTGTGGAATCTCTCTGGAAGGACACACACACGCACAAATGTCTGCCCCAGGGAGGGGCTGGTAGGTCAGCGGCGAGGACTGACTTCGCTGTGAGTTGCTTTTTGTGCCCCTGGAATCGCGCACTGCTGGCAGGTGTTACTTATTCAATAAATAAGTGCAATGAAGACCAACAGTAACACAAGTTACAGCAACATCTGTGACCTCAGTGGCAATTCACCACATACAGCGGAGTGAGAAAAGGATGAAAACATCCCACGTCTGGAAAACCAAACCTCGAAACAAACCAAACCACGGAAGCCTAAATACATAGATTTCTGTTTGTATTTTTGTGTTTAGTGTTTTGTGTGAGCGTGAAGGTGGCACGGAGGCATGCCAGGCTGTGAGGGCAAAGGTGGGGGGGTGGACGGGGACGCCTCCCTGCAGATTCTGTGGCACTTGTTCCACTGGGGGATGGGGGGGTGAGAGTAGGCAGGCTCTGACTGCTTTCACCACGGGGCTAGACGAATCCAAGCTGGGCCTTAAAAGGCGGACAGCTGCCGCGCGGCCTCCAGCACTGCCAGCCCTCCGGATGCTCCCTTGGGACAGCCACTCCAGGAATCCAGCCTCCGGCACGGGACACAGATGGTGCCCAGCTGAGCCCAGCCTTCGAGTCAGCCCAGCCCAGGCACCAGACCTGAGGCAAGATGCCCCCAGACGATCCCAGCCCCCAGCAGGTGTTCCCAACACCGCGGAGCCGACCCCCGACCCCCGACCGTGCCCTGTCCGAGTTCCTGACCCACAGAACCCACGAGCCTCACGATATAGTGGGGGTTTCATGCCACGAGGCAGGGCTGCTTGTTACGCAGCCGTCGATGACTGACTGGGATGAAGGGTGAGAGGAAATCGCACATTTGAAAGTCAAGGCCTCTGCACGGTTCTGGGCTGGGGTGAGCGGGGGGTCCCCTCCACTGTCTGTCCATAAGAAAAGAAACTAACTGTCACTCAGGGCTCAGCTGGCCCAGAAGCCCCACGAGCTCAGGACCTGGAGCCGCTGCTGGGGGCCGTGCTGGCCGCAGAGTGGAGACAAGGGGCCCACGGCTTACGGGGTGCTCGCGCGATCATCAGGGGGCTCTGGCAGGAGGGGCGGCTCCTCGGGCTCTGGGGCGTCTGGCTGTGCCGTTGGGGACACGGACTCCCGCACGCCTGTGGAGACAAGGAGGCTGCATTGGGCCCTGCAGACCCCACCACCCTTCCTGGAGCTGCCAGGACGGAGCTGGGGCCATCGGGTGGGTGGCACCGCGTCTTGACCGGGCCGAGCGCCGGGCTGCGGCGGTGAGCAGGGCAGGGGAGACTCCGTCCCTGGAGCCGGAGCCTCGGGATGTGTGAGCGGAAGGCGCAGGTGCCCCACTGACTTAAGGGCGGGTTTACAACCCCCGCCCCCCAACTCCACTCCTGGGCACAGACCCCAAATAACAGAAAACCGGTGTTCAGACAAAAAGCTGTACATGGATGTGCACAGCAGCGTTATTCATAATGGCCAAAAGGTGGAAACAACCCAAATGTCCACCAGCGGAAGAATGGATAAATAAAATGATCGGCTGTCAAAAGGAATGAATTACTGACGCACGCTACGCCGGGGAGGACCCTGGAAAACACACGCTGCGTGAAAGCAGCCGGACACAAAAGGCCACACATTGTACGATTCCATTTATGTGAAACGTCCAGAAGAGGCAAGTCCAGAGACACAGAAAAGGGACGAGCGTTTGCCGGGGGCTGGGGAGTGGAAGGGACGTGACTGCTAATGGGTGAGGTGGGATGGCGGGGGAAAGGGGGGCGGGATGAGAACGTTCTGGAAGTGGAGAGAAACGGCGGTTGAACAGCATTGTGAATGTACCAAATGCTTTCAAAGGGTAAAAACCGTAAACTGTGCGTCAATAAAGGACGTGCACAGATGCCAGAAGGTGGGAAGCGCTGGGGCAACAGCGACGCGGGGGTGGGGCGGTCCAGGCGGGGGGAGAGGCTGCGACGCGGACTGAGGGGAGGCTGGCCTCCGAGGTGAGGCACCCCATCCCAGGCTTTAAGAGGACTGCTCTGGCCACTGTGGGTAGGGGCAGGCTGGCGTGGGGTTAGGGAGACCAGCATGGAGAAGGGGGGTGACTGGGGGAGGTTCATCACCCCCACCTTGCTCTCGCAGCTCCCAGGACAGAACTCCTTCTGCCACCTTGCCTGATGTGTCCCCAGCGGAAGGGGGCCCGGAGCTGGCCCTGGGTCAGTCCTGGCTCAGCGCTCCCGTCTCTCAGTGGGGATGTGGTACCTACTTCACAGGTTGTAAAGACTGGATGACTTAATACATGTAAGTGCTTTGCATGGGCCCTGGGTCACCATCAACGTCAGCTGTCACAACCTGAAACCGTCTGGGGATTGGACGTGGGATCTTGCCCGGGGCTCTGAGATGAGCTCCGTGGAGAGGGCAGCGGGGGCCCCAGGTCCTAGGGACCCCTGGCGACACAACTCACCTGCTTATTCATTCTACACACACCGCGGGGCAGCCAGCGTGTGCCAGGCGGCCCCAGGTGCCGAGCACGCAGCAGACAAGACAGAACCAGCCCTCTGCCGTGGGGCTCTGTGCTCGGGGGTCCCCGGCATTTCTGCCGTGGGGCTCTGTGCTCGGGGGTCCCCGGCATTTCTGCCGTGGGGCTCTGTGCTCTGGGGTCCCCGGCATCGCTGTCCCCATCCCCGGGCGACCCGTGATGGCTCTGGGGGGGACTCACCGTACAGCTGCCAGACGCGTACCCTGTCCTCATAGGGGAGCCCGTAGCGCAGCGGGTCACCCACCGGGCCCTGGTAGTACGGCTGCATGATGGAGCGTGTGGCCGCCACGTGGCTCAGCCCGATGGCGTGGCCAAACTCGTGGACAGCCACTGCGAACAGGTCCATGCCGTGGGCATCTGGGGACACAGGAGCCAGTGAGCCCAGGGAGGCACCGCCAGCTCCTGCTGGGCCACGGGGACGGGACCCGTGGGGTGAGGTGAGATGAGTCCGCCAAGCTGGTTACAGAGGAGGCCCCGGTCCTGACAGACGGGTCCTATGGAGTCACTCAGGGCTTGTCTGCTCCCTAGGAGGCCCTGTGGAGTTCACAGGGGCCTCTCGGGCCCCGGGGGTCTCTTGGTCCCCCTCACCTCCCACGTGCCCCTCACAGTAAAGTTGGCAAACTATTCTGTACGGGCCACGTGGTAAATATTTCAGGCCTTGCTGGCCGTCAGGATCCCAAGTTACAGGGGTCACTGTAAGCTCCCTCAACCTCACAGCACTGAATAGATGCTCCAGGCCCCACAGGACGGGGCTGGGCTCCCATCGAGGCATAAAACCCACAGGTTCTACGGGGCCACTTCTGGCTCCTCCAGCTGGGATGGGCTCCCCAGCCTGGGATATAGACTCACCCCACGAGGCCCCCGTCTCCCCCGCCCGCACCTGCAGCCTGTGCCCCGTGGCTCTGCCCCTCGTCCCGCCTTGAAGCTGGGGGCCCGTGACTCCTTTGGCCAATGGGACTTAGCAGAAGTGATGGCGTGCCGAGGCCTCAGAGGCCTTCCAAGCTTGCACTCCCGCTTGGGAGCTGGACCAGGGTGGGGATAAGCCTGGCTCACGGAGTCACGTCCCAGGCCTGCGAGCCCAGCCCGGGCCCGCCAGGTGGGTTGCCCGTGCAGAGACGGCTGGAGGCAGAGCTGTCCTGAGCTGGACAGGTGCCCACGGCTTTAGGCAGGGGACCCGTGGCGGTTTCCTCTTCCTGGGGGGCTGGTGTGGCTCCCTACACCATCGTGGGCTCTGTCAGGGGCTGGGGGTCATGCGGGGTCCCCGGGGCCACCCCAACCCGGACGCACCTGAGGAGCGGAACGTCCAGGCCTCGTCATCGTCAAAGTGGGTGTCCCCTGCGGTGTGGTGGTCGCCCGGGAAGAAGGCGTGGGCCACCGCGCCGCCGGGGCCGTCGAAGGGGTAGCGGTCGTTGTGGTCAGCTGTGGAGAAGTCGATCTGGATGTCGGCGGCGCTGCCGGCCACCTCGTGGAAGTTCAGGGGCGTGAGGTCGCTCCAGACTTTGAGCGCGTAGTGCATGAGCGCGCGCACCGTGTCGCGGCCCAGGGGCGAGTCCCGCGGGAACGTGCGGACCCTGGGGCAGGCGGGGTCAGAGCCGGGTCGGTCACAGGGACAGGCCCAGTGCCCCCGCCCCAGGCTGGAGTGCGCTCCCTGGAACAACTTGCCCCGGGGCGGTGGGGGCACCGGGGCCCTTATTTGGAAAGGGGGTTTGCAGACGTGACTGGGGCGGGGATGGAGATGAGCTCGTCCTGGAGAAGGGCAGCCCCTAAATCCAGTGGTGTCCTCACAGCAGACAGGAGGGGACACGGACGCGGAGGGGGACACGTGAGGACGGAGACAGAAGGGGACACAGACGCGGAGGGGGACACGCGAAGACGGAGGCGAGGGTCAGAGCCACGGGCCCAGGGCCGCTGGCAGCACCCGGACAGGGGCTGGGCCGGATTCTCCCTCACAGCCTCCAAGGGACCTGTGGCCCCTGGACCTCGGGCTTCTGGCCTCCAGAACCGAGAGGATAAATTCCTGTCTCTTAAGCCCCAGTCTGTGGGTGCTCATTTTGGCCGACGCCCAGACCCCCGGAAAGGCCAGGCCCGGTGGAGCCCCGCCTGCCCACCTCCATGACAGGTTCCTCTTCCTCCACTTGGTCGGGGCCGGAGCCTGGCGCGTCCTTCGAGCCGGGGCTGCGGCTGGGAGGTCAGGGAGGGAACAGCGCGGGGTTCTCATCAGCGCCAGGGGGGCCTCATCTGCGGGGGGGGGGGGGGGGCGGGGGTCAGGAGCCAGGCCCAGCGCACGCGCACCCCCAACCGGGGATTCCCAGCAGCTCCCCGAGAGCTGGCCCCAAGCTCCAGTCCCGGCCCCTCGCTCTGCACCAGGTCTGGGGGGACGAGGCCCAGGCCTCCAGCTATGTCGGGCCCCCCTGCCAGGGGTGTGTCCACAGGCCAGGAGTGGGGGCTTTCAAAGCATTCACTGACGTACGGCAGGGATCTGAGCAGTCGGAGGGGGCACGGCCCCAACTCGGCCCGTCGGCCAACGTTCCCTGCATCTCATGGGACACACACCCGACCGGGTCTGTGTTTGACACACGTGTCTACTCCCGAGAGGCCCGGGGACAGCCATGTTTTGATCAGCTGGCCCTTCGAAAAGTCTTCACAAAATTGGAATTTGTGGCCAAAATGTAAAAAGTGGGGTGCTCACATAAACCCCCCAGATCTCTGGTTTCTCCTGGAAAGCGGGCAGTTTCAACAGCACAGGCCTAGCACCCCAATGGGGCGACTCAACTGGGGCATGGCTGGCCAGACCCCACTCCGACAGCTGGCCTGCCTGGCCCGTGGCATGGAGTTTGAGACCCCACTGAAAGTGTGGAAAGGGGGTCTGGGTGCGGCTGGTACACACTCACCCCCTGCTGTGCCCACGGCCGGGGACGGGGAGGGGATGACGGAGGGATCCCATGCGGCGGGAATCCTCCCTCCATCCCAGGAGAGCAGGGCAGGCTGGAGGGGGCAGTTAGGAGGAACTGGGCTCAGCTCACCCATCTCCCACTGCACCCTGAGAACTGACCCAGGACGCCAGTGGCCTCCAGGCCTCCGAACTGCTGCATGGCCACGATGGCCTTGGACAGCTCCTCTGGCGTCTGCAGCTGCCCTGTGTCGGGGTCTGCTGGGGGCAGGTAGCCAAACCTGCTCAGCCACTCCTGCGGGCAGAGAGTACAGTGAGGGGTGGAGGGGGAGCTCAGCCCCACAGAAGAGCCACCTGCCTGGGGCCATCACTGCGGGGAGGGGCAGGCCTCTCCTAGCCCTGATCAACACTCCAGCCCCTGCCCAGTAGCCCACAGGGCGTCTCATGCTCCTTCCTTGCCTAAGTGTCTTAATAAACTTGATGCCCCTTAGATGGGTGGGTTTGAGCAGTGCACAACCTGTGCGACTGCTCATGGCAGCCTGCCCCACCTCACTCCTCCTGAGGCAGCAAAATGCCCAGGGGACACTTCCGGAAGTGAGATTTTTAAAAGGTTATTTAACATCGTGAGCGCCCAATTCAGGCCCGGAGCTGGCTTGTGAGGCAGCAGTTTAGGACCCAAGGTCTGAAACCCGTGCTGAGAAGGGCAATGGGCTCAGAATCTGGTTTTAGGAATCTGGTTATGAGCTGCATGTGCACAGTAGTTAAGAGCCCAGACTCTGGAGCGAGGCTGCCTGGGTGCAAATCCCACCCAGCCCCCTCCTCACTGTGCAACTGAGGCAAGTCACACCCCCTCTGGGCTGTTTCCTCGCCTATGGATGTGAGGATATAAAGAGTTAGAACGTGGAAATGCTCACATCAGCCCTGACACAGGTACCCTCCATATAAGGTGTGTGTTGTCAGCGGACAGCTCTGATGCAAAGTGCCTAAGTGGGGGTCCTCTGAGCAGGAATGGGGGCAACCCTTTATACCACGGACACACATAGAACCACTTTACCATCTGTGGGGGGCCAGGGGACAGGGAGGCACTGATGCCATCCGTGGGGACCTCCTGGGGGGCTTCTGTTTCTTCAGCTGCCACACGGCGCTCATGCCCACTTCCCAAGCCATGTGACAATCCCATAAAAAGCACTCAGCCGGGCTTCCCTGGTGGCGCAGTGGTTGAGAATCCACCTGCCGATGCAGGGGACACGGGTTCGAGCCCCGGTCCGGGAGGATCCCACATGTCGCGGAGCAACTAAGCCCGTGCGCCACAACTACTGAGCCTGCGCTCTAGAGCCTGCGAGCCACAACTACTGAGCCCACGTGCCACAACTACTGAAGCCCGCACGCCTAGAGCCCGTCCGTGCTCTGCAACAAGAGAGGCCACTGCAGTGAGAGGCCACTGCAGTGAGAGGCCCGCGCACCGCAGCGAAGAATAGCCCCCCTCGCTACAACTGGAGGAAGCCCGCGTGCAGCAACAAAGACCCAATGCAGCCAAAATAAATAAATAAATAAATGTCCTAAAGGATAAAAAAAAAAAAAGCATTCAGCCATATGGACGCAATGCCAGGGGTGGGCTCATCAGCCAGCTTCAGATGACCCACAGGTGGGCGGAAGGCAGGGTTTGGGAGATTCTCTGAGCTCCACCCCCTCCCAGACCAGGCTTCAAGAAATGCACCGACTTGCAGGTCTATTTTTTTTTTTTTTTTGGTGGACACTTAAAAAATCCTCGATTCATTTATGCTAACTGCAGGGCCCCCAGAAGCTTGCGAGTTTGCAGCCCCTGCCTGAGGACTCCCCACCCCGGGGATCTGACCCCACAGGGGGCCCAGAGGGTGCTCAGTGGGAGGGGGTCTATCCTCCTGGAATTCCCAGGGAATGTAACTGACCAGGAGGGTCCTCAATGATTTGCATATAATTTGCATACACCTGCAGCAGACTAGCTGGATTCCCTCCTTTCCAGGAAACGCTGAGTCCTTGCTGGGGTTCTCTCTGTTCCTTTACCTCCCCCCAACTCCTGAAGGAACCCCCAGAATGCACAGAACTGGGGGACCCCCCTCAGGCCTGGGGGTCCCTCTTAGACCCAGGCAGCACAGTGCGCAGCAACTAAGGGGTGCTCCTGGTGGACACCCGGGTGACATCCTGTGCCCAGACGAGGGGAGCACGAGGGCCGGGCAGGCTCACCCCGACCCGGGCTCTGCCCTCTGTGCTATTGAGGCCTCTGCCACCCCGAGCACCCTTCTTTCGGGAGGACCACCCTTCACATCACTTCAAACACATTTAAATGCATCCCGTCAGCCGTCAACAGGATTTACTGAGTCCCCCGGCTAATCAGTGTCTGAGAGCATTCCAGGTTACAGATGTGTATTTGTATCCACTTTGCTGTACTAACAGAAACTAACGCGACATTGTAAGTCAACTATACTCTGATAAAAATTATTTAAAAAATGTGTGCTTGTGGCTACACATCTTGGGGGAAAGTTTTACATAGGTTTTGATGCTGCCATTTTCTTTCTGAAAGTCAGAAAACACACACACTCTGCAGCTCTTTGTTAGGATTGCAGGACTGAGCTACAGAGCCTGGAGGCGCCCAGCACCACGAGGAATCCCTCTGGGGTGTCCCCGGACCGGACACGATGCTGGGTGACGATGTTGTCCCCACTCTCCTTACCAGGTAATGGTCCACCCGGGCAAGCGCCTTTCCCCACCCAGGCCAGTTGCTTTGGGTGGGCAGGGGCTGAGACAGCCTGGGGGGACCACCCGTCTCCCGGCTGTCCCCTTCTAGGCTGGGATAGCAGCTGGGCGTCTGATCGTAGCAGAGCCCTGCTCCAAGCCCTCGCGGGGCTCCATGGGGCTCACAGAGGAGCTGCGCCCTCTGCTGCTGGGCAGCCTGGCCCGAAGGCCAAGCGCACCTTTGGGCTTCAGGCCTCAAGAGCACCTCAGGTGGTTTGGGAACGTCTGCTAACATTGAAAAGCAGGAGGTTTCAGCTACAGGTCAGAACAAGGGCAGAGCCGAGGGCCTGTGCCAGCCTGGGACAAGCTCTGCTCCGACCGCGGCCGGCAGCTGCTGGCGCCTGCCCGGGCCCTGAGCACTGCAGCCTGCAGCCCCTGCTGCACGAAGGAGCACAAGAATGGGACCAGATCTGAGGGGCTGGCGGGAGGCAGGGGCTCCCTCCCCCTTTTCCCCCCCCCTGCAGGCTTGGGCTCAGACATCCCACCTGCCCCCAGCGCAGCTCCCTCCCCCATCGCAAAGCCCGTCCCTTCTCTTCACACCGCAGGCCCACCTCCTCCCCGTGGCCCCACCAGTGGCGGTGGGCTTCTGTGTCGATTCCTGGACGGCTCGCTGGGGGAAATCCTCAGGAGGTGTCTGACGACAGGACGAGCCCCTGGCAGCCACCGGCCCTCAGGTGATGCATGGATCGGGGGGCCTGAAGAACCCACGGGGACCCTAGCCCAGCCTGAGCCATCCTGTTCTGCCTTCGGTGGAAACACAAGTGTCCCCGACAAGAAGCCCCCATCCCTGCTGGGAAGGAACAGTCGCCCTAGAGCCCTGGGAGGGAGGGGGCGTCTCGGACAGCCCCTTTCTCTCTCTCTTTCTCTCTCCCTCTCGCCCTGCCAGCTCGTTCCCCTCTTCAGGGGAGACAAGCAAATTCCCGAAGGGCCGGGGTTTCACTTTTTTTCCTGGTAGTACGTACACACTGGAACATCACGGAGGAACCAGGCTGAGAGCCCGTCCTCAGGGCCGGGTCCTTGCATGGGGCGAAGGCTGACAAAAGCCCCGCCTCGGCTGCCCCTGGAGCCCGCGCAGCCCCGATCCCTGCACCCACCGCAGTGGTGCCCGCATGAGGACGGCCCCTGGGGTGGGGGCCCTGCCCCTTGCCCCCCAATACCCTGCAGAGCCTGTGGGTCGCCTGGGCCAGCCCCCTCCTGTGCTCATCCACTGGTCCTCCCTTCACTGTCACCACAGCTACCGTGTCTCCAGGGCAACGAGGCTGTGTGGGCAGAGGGTGAACTTTCCAGAAGGCTGAGGGGAGGGGGGAGGGGTGGGAGCGAGGGGAGCCCCAAACCCGCAGGGGCTGACCCGCCTTGGAGAATCGCTAACAGCCAAGGACACGCTCTCACCCTCCTCCCCGCAAGGACCCCCGTGAGCTGAGCCATTACTGCAGATGGGGAAACTGAGGCCCAGAGAGGTGGGTGTCCTGCCCGAGGCACTGGCAGGAAGTGGGGCGCCGGCCCCTCCCGCAAATGCAGTCACCTACCATCCCTCCTGTGGCTTTCCCATTCGCCCTGCCCAGCCCCCGCCCGGCCTTGTTTTTCTCTCTGTCGTTTATCGCTGGTTGACACGACGTGCGTTAACGATGTTTAACACACGCACCACAGAACTCCCTCCCGACCTCAGCAGTCACAGGCCAGTGGGCCATCGCCGCCACGGAGCGGCCCCGCGTTCACGTCTTGAGCGGCCCTCGGCCCAGCAGGTCAGCCGTCAAGTGCAGGCACCTGCGGCCTCAGTGCTGGCTCCCAGGGGGCGCAGCAAACCAACCTTCCACAGACGGGTGGACCAGTGGGCGAGGGAAGGCCGCGCTGTGACGTGCTGTACGGCGCCGGTGCCGGTAAACAAGAAGTGCTTACTGTGTGCAGTGCCCCCGCAGGTCCCTCCCACAGCCCCAGGCCTGGCCACTGCTGTCCCCACTTACGGGGGGGAAATGAGGGCTCGCCGCACGCGCTGGCCGTGGGAGCAGGACCGGAGCGAAGCCACCGGGACCCCGGGACGCCTGTCGGCTCGCCGATGCCCCGTGAGGGGCCCGTGTCTGGCCGGGACAGTGGGGACGGCGGCTGAACCGTCGGCGCCCCCTTCGCCCTCCGTCTCTAACTGGATTCCGCCAGCCTCGTCTGGAGCGGGTATGGAGAGCGGTGTCATTAGCCCCACGGCACAGTTGAGGAAACGGAGGCCCAGGGCAGTGCAGACACCGTCACGGCGCTGGGGGAGCGGAGGCGGGCGGGCGGTGGTTTAGAGCGCCCACCCCCACCCCCAAACAGTAACAGGCCCTTCGGCACCCACTGCCTGCCGCCGGCTCTGCACCTTCACCCACTCACCCCTCAGCACCCGGGGGGGCGGCGTCACCATCACCTCCACGTGCAGCTGCGGAAATGGCTCACGGTCACAGGGCGCAGCTCTGGCTCAAGTCTGCGTCTGACCCGCTTGGCCGTCCGGGCGCTGAAGACCCAGAGATAAAGGGGTTGGTGGCCCCCCGGCGGGGTGCGTCTTCCTCCAGGGGCTGCTGGCGGTTGGGATGACCCCTTGCCCCAGCATCTTCCCCAGGGGGATGCTCCCAGAACCTCCTCTGACGGTCCACCCGTCCATCCGACACCCTCACCGAGGGATCCCTGTGCCAGGTGCCGGGGGGACAGGGAAGGTCTGGGGAGACACCGTCCTGCTGTCTACCCAGGAGGGACAGTCTTGCACGGAAAGCCAAAGATAAACATGTGATAAGTGTCACAGATGATAAATGATTAGTGATCCTAATGGCCAACGATTATTGAGCGCTGCTCAATTACTCACAGCACCACAGGGGAAAGCTGTGAGAACAGGGGTCTGTGGGGTTCAGTTCACGCTTGGCACACAGTAGGCGCTCAACAGAGAACTACTGAAATGATCTTATAGGTGGGCGCTATTATTATGACCATTTTACAGATGAGGAAACAGGTGCAGAGAGGTCAGGACACTTGCCCACGGTCACACAGCCAGACAGTGCAGAGCTGGGAGGGGAACCCAGGCTATCTGGCTTCAGGGCCTATTCCCAGGACTGCTGTGCTATGAGGGGAAGTAAGATAGGGTGGAGGGGCTCCTTAAATGGGTGCTCGGGGGGGTGGCACCTGAAGGATGAGAAGGGGCTGGCCAGATGATGAGCCGAGGTGAGAATTCATGGCAGTGGGAACAGCTTGTGCAAAGGCCCTGTGGCAGGAACCAGCCTTGGAAGTTCAGGGAGCAGAAAGGAACTGGTAGGACTGGGGTACAGAGGGAAGAGAGGATGGAGGAGTGGGCAGGCGGGCCAGGGAAAGGGGGGAAGTGGGTCCCGCATCCTGCCCAGGCCACTATCCGTCCCTCCTGAGAGCTGGACAGTGCCTGAGAGGGACACAGCAGGCTGTCGGCTAGCGTGTGACAGACGCACCGGTCACCCCTCCCGTGCTCAGCAGAGGCCCTGCACCCAGAGCATCTCACTGGAAGCTCCGAGCCACC